GGGAGGCAAATAATAATAATAATAATAATAATAGTGTGCTTCTGGATCCCAATTCCTTAATGATTCATTTTTTTGCTAGGAAAATAGTATAGAGAGGGAAATAGTCTATTGCCTGTACTAATTCAATAATGATAATAAAAATGATATATTAATTATATTAATTATAAAAGTGATGTAAATTCTTGCGTAACAAAGCACATACACACCAACAAGCGCATTGGTATGTTATTGAAATTATAATGTAATTTATTTATATACTTTTGTAATTAGTAATAACAAAAAATATCAACTATTTGGTGATTTCTTTGTTTCATTTATCCAATGGTACAAGTTAGTTTTTGATTGTTGGTGTTTTTTGTCTAGTCTCTTCACTTCACTGATTATGATTTAACCTCCGACATTTATATTTAAATTTATAGGGATTTCCCCTTTTAAACTTTATGGATATAAAATGCATTGATTATTATTTACATATATGCTGTTTATTACCAATGTTTTTATAGATACAATTTAAAGTAATTTAATTTTGTATGAGAAAAGTTTATATTAATGTTAATGTTTGTATAATATTAGTTGAAAGTATGTTAAGAATATTTTTTACGAAACATGAATTGTTTTCATGATCAATCGAAGATGGCACAAGCTCACCTGCTTGGCTTGTATGTGTGCTGTACATCACATTAGTAGTTTCTTATTATGTTTGTTTCCTGTGTGCAAGGAAAATGTTGTTAAGCGGATTTTCACTGGAGGAATTTGCTACAGGAAGCCAGAGTCATTAAGCAGAATGTCGAAGCATGCTGGACTGGTAGTTAAGGAAATCAGGCCTATGTTATCCCCTTAGAACTGAGTGTTAATTCCCCTCGTTTTATTTTACCATTAGTAGCATTATTCTTCCTGTTCATCCGTCATTATTACCATAAAATAGTGGAGTTAATAGCAATTTCATTGATTATTCTCTACAAGTTAGTGTAAACGAGATCTTTTTGAACGAGACTGTGTGTGATGTTTTAAGCAGTCCTTTATTAGGCAACCAGAACTAGAACCATCAGTGACCTCCAACAGGATAAATTGGGTCATGATGGGTCGGAGTTGAACGTGATCGCCATGGCGGCGTAGACCAAGCACTTCCTGTATAGCCCAGTCTAGGTTTTATCTTAATCTATGGATCTATCATGCAGTTTAATTTACTCTCTCCCTAATAGGTTGAAGAATAGAAACAAGGGCAATCACAGAGTTAGTATTAAATTACTGCTTGCCACATTCATAAAGATGAAAGCTATGTTGGAATTGGTTTGGATTTTTTTGTAATAGGCCTAGTTTATTCCCAAGCTCATCAATCATTCAATCTCTGCTACGTAGTTACTGTAAATCTCTCCATGCACGCTAATATTTCCGTTTAAGTAATTTTAAATTGATTAATTTATATGATGTTAGTTGATTTGCGAACACCCTAAATTTACAAAATAGTATATTCTACATTTCAAGTTCAAGGTAAAATGTCTTGTTCAATCTATAATTCAATAACACAACTTATATTTCTGTGCAACAACCATTTAATACATTAATTTGTTTTATTAAGTAGATTCTAAATATCACAGATTCTAAATGAAGTTATTGTCATTATTTTTTTTATTGGTCAGTAAATGATTTATTCATTTTAGCTATAGTAGGCCTGTTTTTCTACAACACAAATAGCGCACTGCTTTTTATAAAGGTGAAATCCTTACTTTTGTTGTACATTAAATGAGTGTATTTTTTAAGTCATTATGGTGAATAATTTTTTTTTATTTGATCTATATAATGATATTGAGATAAGAAAAAGTCAACATTGGTTCTGTATGGTGGTAAATATTTTAAAAATTATTTTGATATTCATTTATTATCAATTTTTTTTTAATTGTTCAGTCAGTTATCATCATCATTTATTGATGGTATTGTATTTTTTGTCTGTTGACTGAATATAATTAAATTAACTTAGACCATTGATTTGGCAGTTACGAAATTAGAACACGGTCACGGATATCCTGTAGTAAGGACATGACTCCACAACTTGTAAAATTAGTGATGAGATAAATTGCAAATTTAATTTTTGTGGTGGTAATTGCAGTGTACTGTCATGCTTATTTCTGGTTAAATTTTGTTAACTGCAACACAACCAATCATGGATGAAAATTTCTGAATGTTAACCATATTTATAATAGTTTTTTTTAAATAAATAAATATAACAATAACATACAAGAGTACCTAAAATCACTGAAATAGAGAAAACATTAAATTGCATTTTAGACAAATAAATGTTCAAATCACAAAACATCAAAATTGGGTTGGGTTGGATTATTCTGTGTAAACACCAAGGATAGCCCATGAAAATCTAGAAGAAGACTTAATTTCCAAGTGGGGTCCTTCTGGTGGTGATTGGACAGTACACCGGGAGACAATCTCCTACTTTTTTCCGAAGAGTGTACTGCGTTCCTTAACGTGCACATGGCCCATAAATGCACACAGGACTAACAGCTTAAACCGAAAGACGGTGCGCTATTGTAACTTGTATTTCAACCCTCCAGCTGAAACACAAGGAGAGGCAGTGATGGGAATTGAACCGGGGACCTAGAGTTTTCCATGGTTTAGCGCACACACAGTTAGCTGACTGAGTTAAGCTGCTCTCTACTGAGCTAAGCTGAGCTAAATTATTACTTCATCAAGAATATATTAAAAAATATAAAATTTTGACAATTCATACAAACAATAAGGCAATATGAAAACCAGGTAAATTGTGGCTATGAATAAATAGCATGATAGCCATTGATGGATAAATGAGGATGATTATATTTTTAATAGGCAGACATGCATGAATACCGACTTAAAATTATGGCATTAGCAAATAAGAAAGTTGCTTTAAGTAGTGATGAAATATCACTATACATTATAATTAGAGATGGAAGTTCAGGATGTTTATATTTTAACAGGCTAAGATGGATGACATTAGCCAATAAGAAAGCTGCTTTAAGCAGTGATGAAATGTCAATTTACATTTCAATTAGTGATGAAAATTCAGGATATTTATATTTTTACCAAGATACGATGTATGAGTAGACGCTTGACATCAATTATGGTAACAGCCCATGCGATGGTCTCTTTAAATAGTGATGATTGTTCCTAAATGAAGTTGTTAAGTAGTCAAATTTGATTGACGTTCACACATAAGATTTTCCAATGTTGATTGACATTTTGCAATAGAAACTTTGCATTAGTCCTTCCCCCTTCAAGTTCTGGATGTGAAGAAGGGCAAGAAGCCTGCTGTTTATAGGTGACCTTATAGTGAGGTCAAGGTTAATGACCTGGATGGTATTTGTGGGATAGTGCATTATGCAGCCAATGATAATACATAGACATCTAACACTACCTACACTTTCTTATTCATTTTCTTTTACTTTCTAGTAAGATTTCTAATGGCATATTATTCGCTAATTATATATTCTTTAGTATGTGGTTTATAATTCATCAAATATACAGTATGCTTCCCATTATATTTCTAATTTTATTATAATTACCAGACGTCTCATGTCTAAGATTTTTTTAACCCATTTTTTTGAGAATGTAAACCAATTGATTTATTTGTTAAAAAGCAAAGTCTACTTAGCTAGTACATCTTCTCTGATTGGTCAGACTCTCAGTTGGCTACTCCAGGTAACCATTTTGTGATGTGGGTGATGTTTAATTATTAACCAGTTAATGGTTGTAAAAATAATCTTGCTTTATTTAAGTAATTATAATTTTCTTATTTTACATTTGAAATATTATTCGGATTACATTTTGTTTTAGCAAATAAGCAAACAAAAAAATGTTTTTAATTACGAACTTGAATCTAAACTTGCTTCAAATGTAGAATGTTAACTTATAAATTTTATTCGGTCCTTGCCTCAACCAACAGTTCTACATTAACAATTTAATTTTTTTCACTTTTACAACCCAACATAAATACCTTTGATAAATACTTTTAAAAGATAATTCGCATTGTAGTGATAACATGAATGTTTCTATGATCGCTTCTCTTTGATGACCAGAACTCGCGGGAATTTTGTTATTGGTCACGAAGCGACAAAAGATCATATGATCAAATAGATCTCGCGCAGAAATGTTTGGGGAAAAAAATTAAATTTTTGTACACTGTTGAGTTAGTTCGGTGCTTAAGAGTTCGCTCTCTTTGGTTTCCACGTTTGTAGCTTAATCCGGAGCTCAAACTAAGAGCAGCGACATCTAATTAATTAAACTGAAGTCGGTTTTTGAAAATCGGCAACCCACTTCTGCGTGACCTCTGATGTGGTGGTTTTTTTTTTTCCCGCTTTCTTTAGCTATTAAGTACTCGATCATTACTTGTTTGGTATTGAAATAAAGCTTCATATTTCTCATCATTACATTTAATATCTTAACTTGAAAGTGTGTGGAGAAGTGATCCGTAGCAGTGATGCGCGATTGTGGCCATGACTTTTTGAGTCTGGAATCAAGTATTTTCTTGAGGATGATAGAATAATCTCCCTAGAAGTCATTGTGCACTTACGCGGACCAATTGAAGAAATCCTACATCAATCTACGCAAGTCACATAGTGAAAATTTCTGTAATGGCAATAGCGGTAGAACTTAAATTAACGCATGTAATGCCATCAATCTGTTGTCATGCACGAGAACTCTACTCAAACACACTCGATGAATAGTTACTTTTGTTGACCTCTTAATATCCAAATACTTTTTATATAGGATTACTAAATATATGCATGTTTGAAGGTAAATTGCTAACAAAGTCTTTAGGCTTTAGTATCTTTGGGAATACATATCTTAGGTATCTCGTTGATAAAGACTACTTAAGAAGAGACTTAAATCTAACGTGTCTGTAAAAGCACTCAATTTTTTACCTTCTTTTCCATGTCATTTTTCTTGTCTCTTTAAATACATGATATTTGACAAAACTTTATTATTATTTTTTCCCATTATATTTTGTCTAGGTATACGCCACCCCGGGTCAAATGTCCCAGGATCAAACCCCGTCAGCCGACCCTTGGTCGCACTGCTCGATGGTCGAGACTGCAGTATTGAAATGCCAATTTTGAAGGATGTTGCAACAGTCGCGTTCTGCGATGCTCAGTCGACACATGAAATTCATGAGAAGGTAAGTGTCGAAATATTAACACATTAAAAATACATAATAAAAATGATAATGTATATATGTGCCTGGTATAGCAGCATGGTGCTATAATATGTTTCGAAATTTCAAGGTTTGCATGAAGGAATACAAGGACAGTAGCAATGAAATGGTGGTACAATACTTTTGATTTCAAATGTTGTTTGATTTATTAACACTTTGAAGTAGAAAATATGTAAATCAATATATCATAGCTTAATTCAAAAGAGTAGCTACACAGTAGTCATGATTTCTATGTGGAGATAACAAGTAAATCAATAAAAAAAAGTTTGTTTTAAATATATCTACTGGTACTTTTATAATAAATATATGAAATAGAACAATAGACCAATTAGGAACCATGTGATATATTATTAAAGATTGATATTTTCAGCAGTCGTAACAAGGTGAATGCATGGAGACAAATAAACATTTACATAGAAAGAAATAATTTAGTGAGAAGAAAATACACATGGAATATAGCCACAGATGGTATGGGTCTGAACCAATTTAAGAGTAATAAGCTAGGAAAAGAAAAACCCAATAGCTCTGGAATTAGCGATGATATATGACGTACAATGGGAAGGGGACAGATGCCTGAAAACAAATGTAATGAAATTACTATATCCTTAAAGAATTCCACCCCCGTTAATTTTACCCCACTGCTTAATTTGCATTTTGCGAATAATTTCACAATTTTTGTTGCATACTTGGACAAGGTGTCGAGTCATTGCTTCTTGTTTATCATTCCCCAGTGTGTTATGTTGCCATGGTTATGAGAGATGATTGGCAGCTTAGCCAGAGGGAAATGTTCAGTGAATGAGTGGCCTTGAAGATGCCAGTTGAAATGGGCTAATGAATATACATTTTTACACTAACAAATGATATTAGCTTCAGCTTATTATACACATCAAATTTGAATTTCATTAAAATATCATTTGCTGGAAATCTGAATAAAATTTGGTATTGGAAATGGTTGTGAAGATGTGATTAGATCTCCACTAAAATAAGATTCTAACTGTACGATGGAATAGATGCATTCATAGACATAAATCAAAATAATCATATATGTAATCATAAATTAAGTAATAATATATACAAATATTAATTTCTTTTATGGATATTTATTTATGGATATGTAATTGCAATAAGTAACATTAGAAATAATATTCAAGGCAATATCTAATTACGAATAAAAAGTTATGTTTGAACCCAACCTCTTTAACAAGTCAAACGGACACAAATGTACCTCAAAAATTATACTGCATTCAGTATAAAAAGAAATATATAAAATATTTAGGAAATAATGGATTAAACATTTATTATTATATAATAGTTTATAGAAAATGAACAGTGGAATAAGAATAAAAGGTTTCCTTGTTTCATAGTAAACAAAAGGATTTTTCTTAAAATATGTGGTTTTATAGGGTGCCCTATATTATCTGTCTCTTAAACATTCTTTTGAGCTTCCCACAAGTAAATGAAGCAAGTAGATAATGGTTTCTATAAGCAATCAGTGAATGATTTTGTAGTGTTACATAATGCTTCGTAGTGCAGTAAAAGGACAGGAGCCGTGTTTGTCATAGTACACTGACTTTCCATGTGTCATCCTTGTCCTCGGGCCTACATGTAAAGGGACAATTAGGTAATTGCTAGAGCGGTGGTTGAAGCGTGTTCTTTGGCCTGTTAACATCAGGTCTAGGCTAGCAGATGTGTTGAGCTTCCGATTTAGGAAAGATAGGCGGGTCACACCGTACAGTATATGAATTATGCTTCGTTGTTACGTTTTCCTTTATATGCTACTGCACAAAATGTGTGTATAACTTTGTAACGATTAAAATCGCAGTTTCACTTGTTCCCCTTCTCTCCAACATATGATGGGGTGATACTTTTGCTTTTGGTGTTCTTGGCGGTAGGCTTGTTTGGCAGAGCAAAGTAGATGATTTTGCTTTTTAACCTTGCTCTAATTGATGTGTAAGCCCTAAGCAAATGGTTTAGACTCCATGTCCAGAAGCTGACCTCTATTTGTTGTCAGGGTCAACAAATCCTAAGAGAAAAGAATTGAGAACAAACCAAAATAAAGGATGTAGGATGTGGATGTAGGCTCTTGATGTAGGTTTTTGATGTAGGCTGTAAAGTAGGCTTTTGATGTCGACTGTGGATGTAGGCTGTTGATGTAGGCTGTTAATGTAGGCTGTGAATGTAGGCTGTTGATATAGGCTGTTGATGTAGGCTGTGAATGTAGGCTGAGGATGTATACTGATCCTTCAGGTGTGCACACACCGTTGTACGACAGTCGGAAAACAGATCCATTTTTTGCTGCCTGTGAGCACTTAATAACCCGATTATTGAGTGGATTGTTGTTAAATAGGATTCCGTTGCCGTACCTCATCACATTGCATTACCTTTGCAATCTTATCAGCTGAAGACTGCCAGTGTAGTGTAAACACGGCATTAGAAGTCACTCCTTCAGTCCTGTGACAATTATACTTGTGGTATTTGTGTGTTCTTCTTTTCTCACAATTTTTTAGATGTGTATGTTGATGTGTATATATA